CTCCCTCCCCGCCAGCCCCACGAGGGGCGACCGGGGCTGGGGCCCAGTGAGACTACTGATGCTTTGTCTCCAGGGGCTGTGCCGACATGTGACTGCTTACAACCTCTTCCTGCCTCTTCTCTCCGCCCCCCGCCTGCCTGGGAGTTGGGGTGGGGGCCGAGCCTGCAGCCTCTCTCTGAGTCTCTGTGACCATGGATGGCCTTGGCCCTGGCTCGGGCCAGGCCTGTGGAGGGGCGTCAGGTACGGCCGGCCCAGCCTCTGATGGGAGTCAGGGACATAAGCAGATGGTCACTGGACAGTGAGAGCGGAGTGGGCACTAGGGGCCATGTGGTGGCCAAGGAACCAGCTCCGAGTGTAGAGTCCGGGCTGCAGGGCCACCTCTCCGACTCCTACCTCTGCCCTGAGCAGGGTGTCCTGGGCCCCGGCCCTCGCGGTGTGTCGGGCCCCGTTGAGCCCCTGGTGGAAACCTCCATTAGCCCCGTCACCGCGTGTCACCTCTGTGCTGGTCACCGCTGCGAGACCGCACAGCAACGAAGGTGCACAGAGGCTAAACATCTTAAATGGGGGCACCCCGCAGGGAGGGAAGAAACCAAACTTGAACCCAAGCAGCCTAGCCCCAGGGCCTGCCGGCACCCTCGCCGCTGCACTCCCAAGAACGCGGGCTGTGCCCAGAAAGGTGTGGCTTGGTGCCTCCCCACCCTCCATCCAGCCAAACTCCTCACTGTGCGGAGGGGAGCGCAGTCCTGAAGGCTGTGAGGGCCTGTGGCTGTGAAGGCCGAGCCGAGACCAGAGCCCGGGAAGGCGGGGTGGCCCCCCCAGGCTCTCAGAGCAGGCAGCAGCCTGGCCTGCCCATCAGAGGGACAGGGCTCTTGGTCCCTCTGACCCAGCGGCAGGGGGTAGGTTGCAGCAGCCTCTGCCTCCTCTTCCTGGGCTCCTCCGTGCCCCTCCCCGTGCTGCCCAGCTCCCCTCTTCATTTCACAGCCTGGAGGCTGGGAGGCCACAAGGGGGCCCTGGGAGGCGGGGTAGAATGATGGGGAGCATCTCGGCACCTGGGCCACCATGTGGGCTCCTTGGCACCTTCCAGGTGGTGGAGGGGAGTGGTCCAGCAGCTGGGGCCCGGGGCATCACTGCTGTTGCTGGGGTAACCGGGGGTGTCCAGGCTTCTCCGCGCCTCTGGACAGCGCTGGCCTCCGCCCGCCAGTCCTCTGGGCAGGGTGCTCCCCTCCCCCAGGCTCCAAACAAGGCTCGGGCTGCGGACTCCTGGGAGGGGAGTTGACAACAGAATCGCTGCTCCTGACTAACGCACACTCCACAGGCCTGGCCCGAGCCAGGGCCAAGGCCATCCATGGTCAGGGTGGACGCCTGACATTTGTTGAGCACTTACTACCTGCGAGGCACTGCTCCTATTATTCACTCATTTAATCCTCATCTTTTTCTTAATGCAATTTTTAACATTTTGTGTTGGATTTATCAGGGTGACCTTGGTTAATAAAATGATATACAGTAGGTCCTCGGGTTACATCGGAGATCCGTCCCTATGGTGCAAAGTAACACGATTTTCGCCCTAAGTCGGAACCCACCTACGTAAGCACCTACGTCACTCACATGGAGCACATACACAGCAGTAATGAAGTGAAACAGTAAATAAAATTTAAAAGATTATTCCTGACCTTTACTTGTGGTAAATAAATAATGAAAAACATGAAGCACATATGTACATACATCGAAATGATGGAACTTTTTTTT